AAAGAAAGAAAGAAAGAAAGAAAGAAAGAAAGAAAGAAAGAAAGAAAATAGTTTTGCAAGTTCATCACTGCCTTTGAGAACTAGCACCTCCTTGCTTCTTGGTTCAAGCTCCTGAAAACAGGGAATCACTAAAAATTTATCTCTGTTGGATCTGATCAGTCAGACTAGTACTGCTTGGAATAGATTGTCCTGCAGATACTCAGGTTTATGACTTACAAAGACATACATTGGTTTAAACCAGCACCTTAAATTATACTCAGAAATAAATCCACAACCAAAGTTGGCATGAAGCCCAAGTTACATGCTCCCATATGATCCATAAACAATGCACGCTACCCATTTTGGATGAGCTATAATTTCCTAGTTGTTTTTATCATGACCTTTAACTGGGTGACACTGTGCCACAAAGTGCAACATTTTTTTTGAACCAAGGTATTTCAAATGGGCTAATGTATCAATTGTGTCCACAATTCAGAACCCATGACTCCCAAAGGAATGAAATTTGGGGAGGTTGTGGCTGCTTCAGTCCTACTATCTGCTGCTGCAGTCACATGAACTTCATTTTCAGTGTTCTGTTTCCCAGCCAGTTTTGCAATCTTTCATCACTTACCTACCTGCTAGAAAGGGCAAAGTAGTGGGAAGGACACAGGAAGAAAGAGAGATTTGCTATGCTTCCTGCCAAATTCCTACAAGGAAACTCAATGGGGAAGCCAGTAGAAAGTCAGAAGTCACTCTTGCTCCCATAGTTCCTTCTCTCCCTCACTCCCCCAGCTCCCCAGTCATTCTGTTTCTATATTTAGATAAGGAAATTTCTCTGAAACAGTGACCCAGTAGGACATGAGTTACCTAGTGTAAAATAAACATGATGACATAAAGTAATCATTGTCCTCCATAGTCCTTTTATGAGCTTCAAGCTTCCCAAAATGAAATGACTTTAAGGGCCATCCAGAATGCAAGGAGATTTGGAGCCAATACCTGTCTGGGGACTGTGTTCCCTAATGTTCAAGTCACTTCTGAGAAGGTCTGACTTCTGATTCCCACTGCACTTATCTGAAAAGGAGAAGAGGTATTTTTGAAGGGCTCCTCTTGATATTTGACTAGGAAAACCATGCTTGGCAAAGTGGTTCAAGCATCCGGGCAAATATAGCTTTATAGCCAGCATTTTGAGGCCTGGAAACTCAACAGGTAGACAGTGTAGTAGCATCCTCAAAATAGGCTTTATTCTACAATCTGGCCACTCAGTTTTGCACCAGCTATAATTTCTGACCAATCTTCAAAGTATACCCATGCAGAGCACATTGCAGTAGTCAAAACAAGAATGGTAAGGATGATAGTCACTTTTCTATGGCTTAGTGGTCCAGGTAGGCTGTAATGGATGTACCAGCTGAATTCTTATACTTGATCCTCTGAACAGCAGGTTGAACTGAATCTAAAATACTCCTTGGCTACAATATTTTGGTAAAGCAAAAGCCCCATATTCTTAAGCAAACATCTCAATTTATTCCTTTAAAATATTCTTGAAAATCAATATATGATTTTACTATGGATTAATTCCATGGAAATTGCGGAGGTTTATTTTTATAAAAACTGGGTCATGTTCCAAAGGGCTGCATGCAACTTGACATATAAAGTTTCTTCTGTACACTTTTTAACAACTGCTCTCCATATTTGTAAAGACAGCCCAAGATAGGATTTTGCCTCTGAAATAGTTAATATTTTTTGCATATGTAACTCTTTCAATCCAGCTGCTATAAGCATGTGTTGGGAAAAAAGTTCAATCTGTAAATTTCACTTCAAAAGAGTTTATTTATATGGTATGCTTAATTTAGTGCAGCTTTTTTTACTTAGAAACATTTTCAGAACAACACAGCAGATAACATTTTTAAAAAGAATAAAATAAACACTGTCAATATAGCTTTAAATTAACTTATAAGATTCTACTTAAACCAATAAATTTTTTAAACTTTAGCAAACAAAAACATACTTATTTGAAAAAGCAGAAAATTGAGTTCTTTAAACTGGGCTCCCCTAATGTTACTAAAACATGTTACTAAAAAAACTATTGTAATAGTATTTAATTATGTTAGTTAAATTAATCAACTTTATTAATAATTTAATTTATTTCATTATAAATGCAACAGAAAATTGACACAAACAAAAATAAAATCAATAAATTAAGTATATGTAGGATGAAAACTACAGTTCTTAAACAGCAAATTAAACCTTTATCATACAAGAGTAATACTGATTGAACCTTCCATACAACCAATCCATATGAACACATATGCTCTGAAATAAAATTCAGTCCAAGTTCTTAAATCAAGTGTAGCAGAGTCTTTCCTTCACAGTACAACAATCTTTTTAACAATAAATCACACAGTAATAAATCCAAAATTTTTCAGTACATAATGCAACAATGCATCACATCTTTAAACCATATTCCTTTTTCTGGCACTATATTAACCACCTGAAGAATATTCAACCAAAATGGTACAACTATAGGACAAGCTCTAAATATATACGTCATTATAAGCCAAAATATTAGAATCACAACGTCCCATGGTTGAGACCCAAACTTTGTTAAACATCTGCATCCTCTTGAGTGTCAGGAAACAGAATATAATACTTCACTGAATTAATCCCTATTAAGACTAGACAGTACATGTTTAACTTTCTTCAAATACTAACCAATTAATTTATTAAAACAGAATGTTCCAGCTCTTAACTGGTATCCCATATCTGTCCTAGCACAAACCAGAAACTATGACACAATTGAGCACAGGCTACATATGGGCTTGGGAGAAGAGAGAGCAGGTAAATCTAAATGTGTGGCTATCAACAAAAGTTATGTCTTTTACAACGTCTCATGTCGTTTTTTCCTTTGAATCAAAAAGTTCCCAAAATGTACAGTAATACTTGAACCCAGTATTTTTCAAAGTTCGCAATTTTAAAATGTCTGGACTTCAACTCCCAGAATTCCATAGAAGTTCACAATTAACAATTCCGTATGAGAGTTAGCCTGTACATGTTGAGGGTTAAATGGGATGTTTGAACTGTAGATGTGTACCTCCAATAGTCCTAGAGATACATGCAAGATATTCTTGCCCCCTCCCCCAGAAATACATTAAAGCTTGGGACAGAATGGACCAACTTGCCATGGTCATCTCGCCACAGCCAAAGTACTGCAGGACAGCTCACTGCAGCCAACTCACTGTGGGACAATCCATGTGGATTCAGTGGACTCAATGCAATAAAAGTTATTCACCATTGTTTCTCCTATATTATTTTCATTGACAAAAATGGAAGTAATGTAGAAGAAACAGAGATAGATAAGATTTATTGTATTGAGTTATCCCATGTGAATTGTCCCGCAGCAAGGTGGTTGTACCGGGTTGGCCATGGCAAGTTATCCACAGCAAGATGGCCATGACGAGTTGGCTGAGGCAAGTTGCCCTAGACCCACTAGCAGAATGCAGTTGTGCAATTCAGGTGGTGGTTCTCCTGGGCTCCTAGCATTGTCTGTCATACCTTACTTGGGAGTTTTCTGGAAATATTTGAATCTGCCAGTCCTACATTGAAGAATCTAATTGACCTTCTGAGTTAGCACATCTTTAAGCCACTATATCAGATTTCTGCTACAAACTAGGCAGCCTTCAGCAACATTTTCTTGTCCGACTTCACAGACACTGTATATGAAAGCTGGCTGAGTGACTTTGGGCTCATCACTCTCTCTTGTGGCTATGAGGAAAGTAGGAAGCAGGAATGTTAGTATGTTTGCCAGAGAGAGAGAGAAAGCGGGGAGGAGAGCGGGGAGGATGGTATTATAATTATAATAATTATAATTATATTTCTTTCTAGGTAATAACCTTGATGCTGTTCATGACATAACAGTGGCATATCCTCAAAACATTCCACAAACTGAGAAACATCTTCTGTGTGGAAATTTTCCCAAGGAAATTCATTTTCACGTCTGCAGATACTCTGTAGAATCCCTGCCAACCTCTCGGGAAGACTTGCAACTCTGGTGTCAGAAGCGCTGGGAAGAAAAAGAAAAACGGCTGCGCCAGTTCTATGAAGGCAAAAAATACTTTGATGTGTCAGGGAGAAGCAAAATCCCACCCTGTAAATCTGAGCTCAGGGTCTTGGTTGTTAAGTGCATTTCCCTCTTGTACTGGACATTTTTCACATTCTCTGCGATTGCACTGTTATACATGTACAGCTTTGTAAGATGGTATTTTGTGATTGTAGTTGTCATTTTCACTGTGCAAGAAAAGCTGTTTGGTGGACTTGAATTGATAGAACTTGCATGTCATCAATTTTTTAATAGACGCAGGTTATCCAACGTAAACAGATGTTAAATTTATCTGGTGTATGTACTGATTGGATGGGTGATGTTTGTGAGCACTTTTCAGATGTGCCATAAATTTTTCATAGTGGAAGGAGATTTTTGCATGGAAATTAATATTTCTTAATGCTGTTTTGGTTAATGCACCATACTCTTCTTGTAAAGGACAAAAGTTCATATTGAATTTTTAATTTTTGAATGTATCAATGTTCCTTTTGCAGTTAGCCTCTGCAGCATCGCTGGAAAAGCATTTGCTGATCGATCAAAGTTTATATCCATTGAATTGTTTAAATACATAGCTCTAAATTGCTGGGCAAATTAGGGAACTAAAAGTCATGGACTGTGATTCTTACAGTGCCTTGCTATAAATAATGTGTGAGATTTGAAAGTCCCAGTTTATTACACGATTAATAGTTGACTAACTTCAGTTCTCTACCTTTATACCTTACACAGAGTTAAATGACTGATGCAGTTATTGTCATCCAAATCAACAAATGTTTTGATCTACTGAAAGAGAAAACTAATCCCAGGACCTGAAGTTGGATGAATGAAGATAAGTCTGTTTAAAAAAAACTTGTGCTATTTTGAAAAGAAAAATCCAAAAGTCAGCAAGGCTTACCTCTAAGTAAAGGTGCTGTTAAAGGTAACTGAGCTGGACCCCACTGTCCTTTTGCAAGTCCTAAATCATCTTCAGGATTCAATTCCTGTGAATTGTTTGTCATATGGTGAAATCAGAGTCCATCTCCACTTCAGGTTTAAGCTGCCCTCCAAACCTAACTGCTAAATGCTCAGGCAAAACAATGTAAAACTGGGCGAGGTATTTAAATTAAGTTTCCCATGATATGAAAATAGAAATAATGTTTAAAATTTCCCCATTGGATTATTACTATAAGAAACATTAAGGTTTTTCTATTAACTTTTGTCTCCTTTCCCAAAATCTGAATCAGGAGAATACTTTATCATGGAAACTGAAGAACGTTTGTAAAATCAGTCCATGTTTGACCATAAGCAGCGCCCCTTCCTGCCCCTCCCCAGGCTTCTACTCCATGTAATGAATTAGATTCCCCCCCCAAAAAAATTCCTAATTGGACCCTTTTTTTCTTGTTAAGACTAAACTTTTTCCCTCCTGCTATTTTTTAATGGAGTTAGGGTAAAATCTTGAACTGGCTGAGTTCAACATATGTTCAACATATTAAATGTCATGGTTACTTCCACGTCTTTTTCAATCCCGGTCGCCCCTACGGTAAGTTTTCACAGAACCATTTTATAAATAAATTGTATTAAGAGCTGCTGGCATATGAAAGGTCTGTAAACTGGTCTTAGATTATCAATGTTATTGAAATGTCAATGTTTTAGCCATAAAAAAATATTTACTCCAGAGCAACAATAAAGAATTTAAAATGCAAATTGGTACTGTTTTATTGCATTCTTTGACAATTTAATTTATATGACCTTACAACTTAACCTGGTTAGCTAGCAAAACACATTATAACATATACAATATAAAAGTTATAAGGCAATACAGTCTTTAAAACTGAACTCCAACCAAGATTCCTCACAAAACTATGTCTTGACTCAGAATAGGACACACATACTAAAGTGCACTAATATCCTGACTCCCCTGTCTGAGAAGGAAGCATAGTCTCCAAAGCTTTCCAGAAAACTGACAGGGCTGTCCAAATCTCATGGAGGAGGCTGCCACAGAATTCACTGTTCTTAGATCCACTAGGCGAGTTGCTTTCACAGAAGGTATCTCAAGGGTGCATGCTCTGCAACATATGGTTGGTTTGAGTGAAATAATTGGATACTCATAGTTCTAAAGTATCCTGGCTCTATGCTATGCTGGACCTCAGGTGACAACCAGCATTTTTAATTGCACCCAGAGCTACAGTGTTACATGTGCACTCAAAACTGAATATGTGCCATGACATTTGGAATCAGTTGTACTTTCAGAATGCTTTTCAAGAATGGTGCTTTGTAGTCTAGTCTAGCCAGGAAGTGTCTAAGGCATATGTCTCTAGGAATTAGGTGCAACTATTGCACAAGATGGATTTGTGCAAATCCTGGCCATGGTTACCATCTGATCTTAATCAGTAGGCACAGGTTCAGATGGACTGCCATCTTGTACATCAACTCTGTGGAAGTATTGCCTTATCCAAAGTTGTTAATGGTAAACCTCCAAACCTAAAGCCCACAGCCACATGGTCTAGCTAGGGTTGTATCAAAAATCAATGTTTTCCCACCCAGATCCTCACAGTCTCAAGACACTGGAAGAATCTTGGCATAATTTGAGGCAAAAATAATATAAATATCATCATGGAGGACATGGATCTAAAACACAGGTGACAGGACAGCTTGCCCTTGGAAGTTGTGGGAGCGCCATCACTTGAGACTTTCAAGAAGAGATTGGACTGCCATTTGTCAGAAATGGTCTAGGGTCTCTCGCTTGGGTGGGGGGTTGGACTAGATGACCTACCAGGTCCTTTCCAATTCTGATTATCTGTTATCTTAAGATCCTGTTCTGTTCCTCAGGACTAACAGGCTGTAACTCTCTCTGGATAACTCAGCAAGAAGTGCCTCAGTCAATTCCATAAGACCTTCATTGAGCCTAAGTGGCGCAGTGGTTAGAGTGCTGTACTGCAGGCCGCTTCTGCTGACTATCAGCTGCCTGTAATTTGGCAGTTCAAATCCCACCAGGCTCAAGGTTGAGTCAACCTTCCATCCTTCTGAGGTGGATAAAATGAAGACCCAGATTGTTGGGGGCAATATGCTGACTCTGTAAAACCGCTTAGAGAGGGCTGTAAAGCACTATTAAAGTGGTATATAAGCCTATGTGCTGTTGCTATTGCTATAGCCAGACTCTGAAACAAATTCAGCTCACATCTGACAGATGCCTAAAATAGCCTGGAATGCAGCATTGATACCAAGGACCAAGGCTGCCTTCCCTGAGAACAATCCACCCCTGGTCTTCCACCAATCACCCTATGCCAGGTGTGTCAAACTCACATCGCCACAGTGGTGTCACATAACATATCAGGACTTTTTTCCCCTTGGCTAAACCAGGTGTGAGCATGGCCAGCACATGACACATCTGGGCCATGGGCCGGGAGTTTCACAGCTCTGCACTGTGCCCTCCATCACCATTGCCTACTTATCTCTATAACATCCATCACCCAATGATGCTTGCCCTCCCTTCCCCACATCAAAGGGAGTCATCGTACATTAGATGGCACACTAAGATTGACATAAGATTAAAAGTAATTAGTGGTCATAAAATAAGTCTACTACTTCTATCCTACAGTCTTTTGCTAACAATTGGACTTGCTCTTAAGGTTCCCAACCTTAAAAGAGTAAGTATATTGTGATGTTATATAACTGCAAGATATACAAACTGAGATTATCTCATTCCAACTTATTAAACAAAACATTTATTAAATCATTTAACAGGTAACTGGCTTTACACATCGTGTTAGCAAATTATAATTGACACCCAGCGGGAGAACTTCAATTTCCTGGAATTTCCTGTTACTGAATCTATGAGGCCATCCTGAAAATAGAAAAACCACTTCTCCCATGAGTTGTTCAGAGCATCCAGAAGTGGGAGGGGCTTCAGTCTCATCTGGAAAGGCTGGGCTTAAAACTCCGGGACGCTCCTCCTCCTCCATGGGACACCACCTCAGCGTCCCCCAGTTTTAGCTCAGCCTTCGTGGTAAGAGGTTGTGCATTACCTGACTGGAACAGTTTTCTGATTCATGTTTGCTCTTGGGTTATTTCGGCTTTTAAAAATCTTCCCTATTTAATTTGGCTTTTTCAGGGTTGTCCCTCTATTAGGTTATCTTGATTAGTTAAAAAAAGAAAAAAGTAAATAGCGGAGCCTGCCACTCCACAGGCAGCTTGAGGCTTTTGCCTCAGGCAATTACCTTATCTAACTTTCCGATCGTCTTCTCTGTGATCGTAGCGGAGCGCTCGCAGCCGCGGCTCACTTCGCCTTGCCGTTTCGTCTGACAGGAGCATTTAACTCGCAAGTTAGAGCCTCAGCAGCAGCGGCTCATTAGATGGCTCAGACATTAGCAGTGGTGATTCTGCTTCCCTCCCTTTTCAACAGCTGGCTCAACTTCGCGCCTAATTATCACAGGCGCCATTCCTCGCTGGTTTCCCTTTCTGGGGACCGAGGCAGTACCTTCCCACTTTGTTCTCCCTGGGTTTAGCTCTCCCTTGTCTGGCTGACGTTGGATAAGCAGCCTAGTCATTAAACAGGCATTTTTTGCAATTGCCTTTGGATCATTTCTTCGGAGTGAAACTGCAAGTGCCATTTAAATTGTAGGATGTTTGGTTTTGAACGGAAAGGATTCACCTCAGATCCTGTATAGCTGGTTTCCCTTGTTAGGGACCAGGGATCCAGAGTGTTTCTCGCTTGGAGCACTTGGGGGTTTCCCTTGTTGGGGACCCTTAGATACTGTTTACCATGTACACAGTTACACATATGTATATGTATATGTATATATATGTATATATATATGGTCTTACCCTTCTGGAAGAGCGTTCTACTTTCAACCGCAGAGGAAGGCATCACCCCAAAGTACAAATATTAATAACAATCATAATCATAATCATAATAATTTAAAAAAAGAAAATTTAAAATTAAAGTCAGAGGCAAGAGACTCAGTCATCCACCGTGGAAGGTGACAACGCCTCAAAAAAAAAAAACAACCCACCGCTTCAAGACAAATAAGTCCCGAGATAAGTCAGTGGGCCCCAAAAAGGCCTCTGAGGATGCCCATAGACGACACCTAGTTTTGGAAAGACAATTGCAGAAACGAGCCAGGGAGGCAGACAAGATGGCTATGACACAACAATCTGATCAGGACCCAAGTCCATTGTTGGGGCCCTAGGACTTATCCATTCAGCCCAGGCAGGCTGTTTCTGGACAACCTCCCATAGGCACATCTCCTCCAATGAGCACTGCCTGGCTAATCCCAGAGGCAACCTTCACCCCCACGGTTGCCGGCCTAAGACAGGAGGAAGGATTACCTGAGACTATCCCCATCGAAATGAGGCAATGGATGGAGATGGTGATTCAAAAGGGCATTGCGGCTGGAGTTCAGCAATCCATCAGGACCAGACACTTCTCGGACGCTTCAGATGTGGGATCCCTGTCCGCTCGATCCTTTGCACATATGGGACAACATCAAACTCAGGTATTCCCCAATATTCTTAACATACCAGCCCAGGCCCTTCGGGAGGAGGTAGAATTTGAGGATCAGGATGTTCCGATGGAGGTGGGGTTGATCCATCAGATGGTCTTGGGGTTGTCAGAGGCTGACCAACTAGAACAGGGAATGTCGGATGACAAAGGCCTCATTCCGGACCAACCTACTTTTTCTGGCCTTTTTCGTCCGCACCTCTTTAAATCCTTACTGTTCAAGGCAAAGAACACCGCTAAACTAGGCACATCAAACCCTCACCCATTGTCAACAGAGTCCCAGGACAAATCCGAAAATCTAATATTCTCACAACCAGCTAATGAGGCGGAAACTATTCCTGTCCCTTGTATGTTTGCTGAATTAGTACAAAATCAATGGCATCAGCA